GACGATGCAGGTCCTCCCAGCAGCACACCGCTTCCACCACGCGCGCTCGGCTGCACGTTGACAGACACGCCGCCATCACGGCGCTTGCTGCCTGGCCGCCCACGCTTGCTCTTCTTGCGATCGGCGAGAGCGCTGCCACCGCTGCCACCGCTGCCGACGCCAGTGCCGCTGCTGTCATCCCCAAACGCAACGCGGCACTGCTCAATGTACTCCTCGTAAAACGCAACACGCTGCTCCACCCGCAGCTGCTTTGTCTCCGCCAGCACGCGCGACGCCTCCAGCTTGCTCTTCTCCTTTCGCCGAAACCGCCGCAGCAGCGCGTGTTCGCGAATGTCCTTGACAATGGCAGCGAGAATGGCGTTGTAGTCGTCATCGGGCGACACCAGACCCGCTGGGATGAGCTCCGCCTCAAGCGTCTCCCGCACCTCCGCCTGCAACTCGCTCAGGCGCGCACCAATCTTGGACAGGGTGCTGCGGCGCGCCTGGTCCGTCAGTCGCGTGTTCTTCATCACGTTGAGCGTGAACGCGCGGTGTGCCATCTCCTCCCGGGGCGAGATGGGGTCATACAGCACGGATTTCAGTGTCGTGCGGCCACGCACCATCCGCAGCAGGTCAATCACCTTCTTCTTCGTCTCCGCCATCATCTTTTGCAGCCGCGAGCCGTGCTCATCCTCAGACTGCTGCACAAACACCTTCAGTCGCACCACAACCGGCGTGTGCACGGCCGCCGCCTCAAACCCGAGCTCGTATGTCTTGGGCACGCGAATCGTGTCTGCAGCCAGTGGGCTCTCGCTCAACGCATGAGCGCCTTCAGTGTTGCCGACACCAACACCACCATCGCCACCGCTGTTGCTACTGTGCCCATTGCTGGTGCTGGTGGTGCTGCTGCCGCCGCGACGAAGGGACGGGCGAAGCTTCGAGCGCACAGACGCAATGCGACTGCCACCACGACTGCCGCTGTTGGCGTTGGCATTGGCATCACCGCCACCGCTGTTGCTGCTGTGTAGGACAAACGACGTGCGTTCGCTCAGGTCAGAGTGGAGTTTGCTGAGCGTGTCTTTGAGAAGCGTGTCTGTCGGGAACGCCTTGGTGCACGAGGACAGCACCATCTGGTGCAGGTTCAGCATATCACCCGGTGACACGTACACGCACATCTCGCTCAGCGTGACAATGTCGCTGTACTCATCAACTCCGTAGTAGTCATCGAGACTGCGCACCTGGCAAATGCGCCGCGTCACCTCAACAAGCTTGGGCGAGTGCTGCTTGCAGAAGCGAGTGAACGCACGGTGCACGTCCTCAGGCTTGTTGGCCGGCACTGGTGCCCCGTCAGCGAGAAGCGCATGCTCCAGGATGTCGCAACACGTGAGCAGATTGGTCGACTGCTCCTGTGTCAGCCGGAACTTGCGCTGGTGTGTGCCCTCGAGGTACTCCACCAGCACGCCTTTCGTCAGCAGCGGTGTCACATACGTGTGCACGAACAGGCGCCCAACGAACCGGATCAGGGTTCCGTGCGCCTGCTGCCCAAAATGCGCCTTCATAAAGTCGTGCGCCTCCCGAAGAAGGAAGCACAGGCTAAACGGAAGCCGCTTCCACCCGTGTATCAGGCATGACACAATCTCCTTCGCCAGCGTGTAGTATGCGGGCTCATCCTCCGCCTCCTCATCGCCGTCGCGCGCGCCGTGCATGCGTGTATCGTGGTCCTGCAGCACCATCAGATCCGCAGCAAGAGATGACATTGTCTCCATGTCACGAATGCCAATCTCGCCCAGCTGCGCACTCGTCAGCGCCAGCAGCCGCTCGCCATTGATGTCCTGCGAGAACATGAGCGGGGCAACGTGCGCACGCTTGCTCTTCTTCAGCCACGTCCCCACGTCGCCAACCGTCCACCCGCGCACATCCTCCGGCATCCCGTACAGCGCGTTGGCGTAGTTGCGGGCCATCGTCTGGGTACGTGGGCGCTGCATGCCACCACCACCACCACCGCCGCCACTGCTGCTGGTCGTACCAATGATGTCAGCGTCCTCAGCGCTCAGCAGCCACGCGCGAATGATGGGCGCAATGCCCGAAACGGCAAGGCCGTCCAGGGAGCGCATGAATCTCTGTGACACAAACGCCACACGCGGGTCCTTCAACACGGCATCGCACCACGCGTCAAAGTCACGGTGCTCAGAAAGCACATGCCAAAAGCTCTCGCTGAGCACATGTCTGTACACCTTCAGCAGCAACGCTTCCTCACGAGCAGAGCTGCCGCGGTTGAAGCAGACGTCAAGCAGGTAGTGCAGGTACCCTGGCTTGTTGTCACGCAGCATGGCCTCCCAGTAGCGCGGCTGTGTCTGCAGCACATACAACAGGCCGCCGTACGCGTCAAGCACGGCTGAGGACTCCTGCTCCGTTGTTAGTTGGGGGGCATGACAGTGAGGGAGATGGGGGGGGGCGATGTGTGGGGATGGAAAGGGTGAGGAGGTGCTGGCGACTGATGGTGATGGCACAGGCACGAGCGAACACGCGCACACACAAGCATGCGAGCACGCAAGCATGCACGTACACGAACCATGTTTGCTCGGGTGGCCTTTGCGGAGCGGGCGATGCTCTGGGATGCCGCAGCGGCCTGACCAAGGCCAGTCTGGTTCTTGATGATGGCAGCAATCATCTCATCCAGACGCTTCAGCTCCTCCTCAGCCTGTGGTGGTGGTGGTGGTGGTGGTGGTGGTGGTGGTGGTGGTGGTGGTGGTGGTGGTGGTGGTGAGTGTGGGCAAAAACACGCACTCAGCACCCGAAATGTCAGCACGAATCGACGCAAGCCATATCAGCGCGCAAACAAAAGGGATACCAGCACACAGCAAGCCCCCCCCCGCACAGTCAAGCTTCCACAAGGTACGACAACAGAAGGCAGTCAAACCTTTGCGAGGGAGTTGATCTTCACAATAAGGTCGGACTTCAGCTTCTGCACTTCAACATCAAGCGCGCAGTCTTCGCTCGATTGCGTCAGGACATGAAGGAAACGCTTCACTGTGTTCACATCGGGCTGAAGACGGAGGTTGTTGTACAACTTGCGTGTCAGAAAACCACGCACGTGCCGTTGAATCATAATGACGGCGGTGGTCACTTCGTCCACGGCATAAGGGGCAAGGTTGAAGCCGTCATTGTGGATGGAGCGAGACTGAGAAGGTGACGCAGGGGAATCCACAGTGTCTCCGGGTGATAATTGCTGAAGCATAGATGACAGCTCTTCACCCGATACTTCAATGTATTCGGAACACGCAGCAGCCTTCGCCTCCTTCTCCGCAGCATACGTCTTCCGTGCACTGAACCCGCGGTACGCAGCCTGGATCCGTGTTGCGCTCGCCTCCTCAACAGCAGCCCGCTCAGCTGCCTCACGCGCAGCCTTCGCCTCCTTCTCCGCAGCATACGTCTTCCGTGCACTGAACCCGCGGTACGCAGCCTTGGATCCCGTGTTGCGCTCGCCTCCTCAACAGCAGCCCGCTCAGCTGCCTCACGCGAGGAGCCTTCGCCTCCTTCTCCGCAGCATACGTCTTCCGTGCACTGAACCCGCGGTACGCAGCCTGGATCCGTGTTGCGCTCGCCTCCTCAACAGCAGCCCGCTCAGCTGCCTCACACGTAGCCTTCGCCTCCTTCTCCGCAGCATACGTCTTCCGTGCACTGAACCCGCGGTACGCAGACCTGGATCCGTGTTGCGCTCGCCTCCTCAACAGCAGCCCGCTCAGCTGCCTCACGCGCAGCCTTCGCCTCCTTCTCCGCAGCATACGTCTTCCGTGCACTGAACCCGCGGCACGCAGCCTGGATCCGTGTTGCGCTCGCCTCCTCAACAGCAGCCCGCTCTGCTGCCTCACGTGCAGCCTTCGCCTCCTTCTCCGCAGCATACGTCTTCCGTGCACTGAACCCGCGGTACGCAGCCTGGATCCGTGTTGCGCTCGCCTCCTCAACAGCAGCCCGCTCAGCTGCCTCACGCGCAGCCTTCGCCTCCTTCTCCGCAGCACTACGTCTTCCGTGCACTGAACCCGCGGTACGCAGCCTGGATCCGTGTTGCGCTCGCCTCCTCAACAGCAGCCCGCTCAGCTGCCTCACGCGCAGCCTTCGCCTCCTTCTCCGCAGCATACGTCTTCCGTGCACTGAACCCGCGGTACGCAGCCTGGATCCGTGTTGCGCTCGCCTCCTCAACAGCAGCCCGCTCTGCTGCCTCACGTGCAGCCTTCGCCTCCTTCTCCGCAGCATACGTCTTCCGTGCACTGAACCCGCGGTACGCAGCCTGGATCCGTGTTGCGCTCGCCTCCTCAACAGCAGCCCGCTCAGCTGCGTCTTTTTGTGCGGTGTTGCTTGAATTGCTGTCACGTTTCGCCTTCAGCTGCTTCAGGAGCTTTCTGGCCTTGTACCCACGCCAGAGGGATTGCAGATAGATGACCGTGTCCTCGTTCTCCCAGAAAAAGTCCAGCATCCACTCAAAGTCTCGCTTCTGTAACCATCCTATTGATTCATGCCACAAAGATGTTGTCAGGACTTGCAGCATTGCCAACGCTCTTGGTCACGTCTCACCACCCACTCTCACTTGTACACACGCCCACACACACACACACACACATGCACCCACACCCACACACACCTGCACCCACACACACACCTGCACGCACGCACACACACGCACGCACACACGCAGACGCACACAAGCCTGCACTCTGTCCTGTGTTTCGACCAACGTCTGGACACCACCACGACTCACCTCGAATATACGCTTGGACGCGAACCACGGCGCGCAGTGTTCGCGCATAGTCCTTCCTCTGCACATACCCACGCCACGCAGCCTGCACCACCTGTGCAGCTGCGTGCTGCTCGTCGTCCATCCTCCCTCAACGCGCTGCTCCCTGCTGCAAACCCACACACACACAGCCTGTTTGTGTTTGTTTCCGCGGCGGAACACCAGCTTGTCGCACAAAGACCTGTTGACGACAGCATGAACAGTAGCAGAATGCTGTGAATGTGATAACAAAATGGGTGTTTTTGTACCCTAATTTGTACTCAACTTTTTTTATTTTTCTTGACCAAAGCAGAGGGCAAACCGCGCAAACCCACAAACACATCCACAAGCGCGAACGCCACTGCCATATCCGCCACCTGCACACATCTGCTCTCTCTCCCTTCGCCAAGCCTCAAGATGGAGCCTGACTTCAAGCGCCCAAAGATGGCGGTAAGCGATGGTCCTTTGCACGAGTAGAGTGACATGAAACAGCTTGCTCAACTGATGCATCTTTCCGATGCGTCTTTCTGTTCGCATTGTGCTGCAGTGGTGAGGCGGACGTTGTGCCGTTTCTTGTCGTTGTGTTCGCCTGCACAGATGCCATTGTTTTTGGTTGTGTTTCACATGTGCTTTCGCGTTAACACCAGCAGCAGATCCCACCAAGCCCCGTCGTGCACATTCGCTCGCTTCCTCCTCATACGACGCCCCAGGACATCCATGCGGCGCTTGAGCCCTTTGGCGCCATTGTGTAAGCGTGGATTTCCCCCCCCCCCTGCCTCAGTTGTTTAGTGGGTCGACAGATCTGCCTCACACTCTCTTGTGTGATAATGCCGCAGGACGGTGTTGGCGATCGCACTGTTGTCTCATGTACGAATTGCTTCCATCCTGTGTCCCTTTTCCCTGTCATGCAGGAACGTGTCTCTCATCCCCAACAGATCTCAGGGTCTTGCCGAGTTCACGGTGAGATGGCTTGCTTGATCGTGCGCTGTTGTCACTTTTGACGTGCTTCATGCCCCGCGTGAACAGGATGCACCTTTGTTCATGCCATGCGCACCGCGGGGACTGACGGCTGTGCTTCGTGCCCTTTGTGCTTGTGACATGCAGGATGTGCACACGGCGTCCCGCTGCGTCTATTCGTCGCAGGTTCGCAACTGAATCACTTGCTTTGGCAAGAAGGAAGTGCTGGATTAGTTGCGCATGCATACTTGGTTTGTTTGTGGTCGTCTAGCTCACGCGATCCATGTGTCTCGTCCATTGTTTTGCTCTCTTTTCATCGACCACACCACATCAACGCAGCAAGGAACGCAGCCTGTGTTCGTCAAGGGCCGTCAGGTGTACATCAACTTCAGCACCAGCCAGAAGGTCCACACACAAGGTGGGGGAATCAGCACATTGCGCGCGTGTGCGTGTGTGTGTGTGCGTGCGTGTGTGCGTGTGTGTGTGTGAATACCAGAGTGTGTGGCCCATTTGAGGCGGAGATGGTTTGTGCCTGCCAACTTGTATGCAGTCTGTGGGCCCTGCAGCTTACATGTTGTGCTCGTGCCTTTGTGATGGTTAGCAGGTGACACTAGCCAGCCGTATGCCGTTCCGGGCAAGGTGCTGATGATGACGGTGATGAACGCGTCCTACCCCATCAACGTGGATGTGATCTACGCCGTGTGCTCACCACTCGGCCGTGTCCTGCGCATCGTCATGATCCGCAAGAATGGCGTTCAGGTGTGTGAGATGCTTCCCCAAGCCCTGCCCATCCACAACACACTTACTTAGCACATCACAACATGGACAGCGCAAGTGCATTCAGTGGTTTGTTCATTGCCGTGAAAATGGTGTTCCGTTATGTTTTTGTTCTCGTCTGGTGTGGGCACCCGTCTCTTACACCACGACGTGACGTGCATGTGTTTGATTGGCGTTGTGCGGTGTGTTCTGGCTGCGCGTGCAGTCAGCTCCACCGACAGCGAGGGTACGTGTTGTGTCCCTTTGTATGTGTGTGTATGTGCGTGTGCGTGTGCCGGCGTGCGCTCTGCATGCGACTACATGTGCGCGCGTGTGTTGTTTCTTTTCAGTGACCTGTCCGGTGGTACCAAGACAGCGCCCACGTTCCCACACAAATGTCGTCCAGAGCTCACTGTATGGTTTGCTTCCCCTCCTGCACTGGGTTCTTCCGTCTCCTTCCCGCCGCCCTTGTGCTGCTTTCCTCTCCGCCCATTCTCCCCTCGGCCCTCCCTCCCGGCCGTGCTTCCCTTGGGTCTCCTGCGTTTCCTTCCTTCCCCCGTGTGCGCGGCCGTTTGGTTTTCTCGTGTGTGTGTGTGTGTGTGTGTGCGTGTGTGCGTGTGTGCGTGTGTTGCGCCTGCGTGGTGTCGTGTTGTTGTCTCCCCGCCTCCCGCCTCTTCTGTCCCTGCTGCCCTTCGCCTGCGTAGGCGTTGGTTGAGTTTCCTGATGCCAACACTGCTGCCGCCGTCATGAGCTCGCTGCAAGGCGCCAACATCTACCAAGGCTGCTGCACCCTTCGCATCGAGTACTCAAAGGTACGCAGCGAGTAGTGCGTACGTGTGTGGACGGGTGCTGTGGTGTGCGTGCGTGGTGAGTGTTTCCTCGGCATCCACTACCCCCAACTCATTGCTGTTGTAATCCCAACACTGGCACCGCTGTCCCACCTCACCTTGTCCATTTTTGTTGCTGTTGGTTGTTGGTTTGTTGTCTTCCTCCAAGGCTGACCGGGTGAACGTGCGGTACAACTCTGAAGAGACGCGTGATTTCACCGTGAACCTGCCACCCCCACCCGCTGCGCCTGCACACGGCGGCTACGGCTCGGGCGCACCGCAGCACGGCCACCACCACCACGGCGGTGCTCCAGCACACCATGCCCCCGACCCGTATGACCCTTACCGCTCCGGTGGATACCAGCCCAGGTCTTCTTACCCGCCCCGCGGCGCACAGGCTTCCTGGGGAGGTGAGCACACACAAGGTGCTGTGTGTGTGTGTGTGTTTCGTTTAAAGTCACGCGGCCGCGCTGATGTGCGGGTTGTCTTTAATTTTCTTCTTCCCTCACGCCCTCTTGTTGTCTGTCCTCCCTGGTTTTCAGGGGAGCGCCGGCCGCGCCCGTGCCCGCCGAGCGTCGTGCTCATGGTGTACCACATCAACAAGGGCAGCATCAGCTGCCAGAAGCTCTTCAACCTCTTCTGCCTCTACGCCAACCCAATCAAGGTGTGTGTGTGTGTGAGGGTGCGGGTGAGGTCGTAAGTCGATGGTCGGGCGGTGGTGTGCTTGGCAGCGCTTCATGGTGACGCACGACTTCCGATGATGCATCCTCCGATTTGTCCCCTCTTCATGGGTGCTGATATGGTCTGTTGTGGCTGCGCTGTGGTGGACCATGCAGATCAAGGTTCTCGTGAGCCGCGACGGTATGGCAATGGCCCAGTTTGAGGACCTCGACCAGGCCAAGGTGTGCGTGCTTGTGTGTGTGTGTGTGTGTGTGCTTGTTGTGTGAGAGAGAGGGCCCACCGCCCACAGATGTGCGCGTGTTTGTGGTTGTTTGTTGGTCGTTCCCTCGCTCGTAATCTCCATCTCACATGTGCCTCCCCCCCCCCCGGGGCGCAATCACTGCCGCCGCCGCCACCATACAGAGCGTGCTCGAGATGCTTGAGGGTGTTGAGGTGCAGGGCCAGCGCATTGAGCTTGGCTACTCCCGCAACCAGGAGCTCACGGAGTCCCCTGCAGAGGTCACCCTTCCCAGCGGCCTTCCGGTATGTGCCTCTTGTTGTTGACGTGCTCGTGGGTCGAACTGCTTGGTCCTGGTGTGTGTGGGTGTGGGTGTGGGTGGGTGTTTTTTTTTTTTTCTGTTTTTTTTTTTTTTCTGGCGAGTGATGCCGTTGTTTGGTTGCCTTACGCACCTTGTTCCTCAGCTCAGTGTCCATGCACGCAGCGTCGTTTTCTCTGTTTCCCTGTACTTTTGCGGTCTCGCTCACCTGTCCACTTGCCCTCGCCCACCTTACCGTCACATCGTGTGCACGACCACTGCAGGCCATGGAGGATTTCCGGGATGCGCAGAAGCACCACATGCGCTTCAAGGACGGCAAGCCCGAGCCTGGCCTGGAGGTGAGCAAGCCCACTGCCACCCTCAAGTTCTACGACGTCCCAGACAACTTTTCTAAGGACGACGTCAACAAGGTGTGTGTGTGTGTGTGTGTGTGTGTGTGTGTCGGATGTGATGGGTGGCTGCGTTTGTTTCGGCTTGATCGGTTGTGTGATGCGTTTGTTTGGGCTCCGTTTGTGAGTTTGGTTCTAGTGCTGCGGTTTTGATCGACGCTGTAGGTTTGTCGATGCTTGAGCTCATGTGCAACCCGACTCATGCATGTTTTCCTTTCCAGATTCTTGGTCTCTACGCAGCCCCCTCTCCGATGGAGGTCACCGTCGGTGCGTTGCATTCAGACCAGCCATGTCTTGTTTGCCTTTGCAACCTACTGTCGTGCGTTATGCTGTGTTGTGACGCACACACACACACACACACACACACACACACACACACACACACACACACACACACACACACACACCCACTCACTCGTTCTCACTTTCATACGTTCGCACGCGCACGCACGCGCGCACACCCTCTTCACCAACAGAGCGCGATGAGAGCGGCAAGGTGTACGGGTACCTCAAGTACCACTATGCCAACCAGGCGACCGACGCCGTGCTGGTGTGCAACAACGTGAAGATCCCGACTGCTGACGGCGAGCAGAGTGACGCCATCTTCAAGCTGTCGTTCACCTCCGAGGGCGACGCGTCCTCTGCCCCGGCTGCCGCCAACACCGCCAGCAGCGAGCAGGCTGCCCCCGAGGCCAGTGGCGATGGCGCCGCCACCACGGACGCGGCTGCTCCTGAAGCAGATGCGGCGGCAACGACAACCACCGCAGCTGACGGTGATGATGGCGCCGACGGTGCCGCTGAGGCAACCGCATGAAGTGGAGGACGGACATGAGGCGCGGTGGACTGTACCGGTGGTGCTGGTGGCGATGGTGTGGATGATGCAGGTTAGGTATCCGTTGCTGGTGTGTTGAGTACGTCCGCTCAAGAAGATGAGAACAGGCATCCTCGGCACACTCCACGTCTTTGCGACGCGCCCCTTCTTCGGGTATGGTGCATCCAACAACAACAACAACAACAACAACAACAACAACAACAACAACAACAACAACAACAACAACAACAAACGTTGTGCATTGCTGCAGCACAAGGACAAGCGCACTTCATAGCTTCAACCACCTTCACCTTCAGCTCCATCAACCACCACCACCACGTTCATCCTCCACAAGCATCCAACCCACCAACCCAACACGCGCCTCGCCACGCACAACCAACACCCCTCTCCCTCTGTTGCCCTACCTGTCGTCTCTTCTCCTGTAGATGTCGTGTTGTCATTGCTTGGTGCATTGTCGACAACTTGCATCCCACCTTCTTTGTCGTGTGTGTGTGTGTGTGTGTGTGTGTGCTTGATTCTCGTCTCATCGTTGACCATGCACCCCAGACCTTCATCCATCCCCATACAAACATCCATCCATACATCCATCCATACAAGCAACAAACATACATTTGAAACCTCCCAAAACAACAGCCACCGCTCTGTTTTGCGCACACTACATCACAAGCCAGACTACCCCTTTGTCGTGTATTCCTAGCTGACGGTGTAGTGTAATGTCCTTTGTCTTGAGACTCGCTCATCTGTGTCGCACGCACACACACACACACACACGCACACACACACATGACGCTCCAATTTCTAAGCAACAGTATCAAACCACGCATGCGCACCACACACAAGCGTCGGAACAAATGCATTGCATTGCACTCTTTCCCAACCACAACACCACGTGCAAACATGATTGTCAACAAGCACACGATGCACGCATGGTAGAGTACTCCCTACTCCCATCAACCACACCACCATCAGCAGGTGTGCTGGTTGCCGCTAGCTGCTGGTGGTGCGCGGCTCGCCCTGCGACCGCTGCGTCTTGGCTCGCTTGACATCATCGTCATCCTCAAGCGACAAGGACGACGGTGCTGTGGCAGCCTGCTGCGGCTTCGTTGCGACAATGGCAAAGTTCCTGGACGACACGGCCGGGTCAAAGAGGGCAACGATGTCGCATGCCATGCCGCGCTCGCACAGGTACAGGGCACGGTCGCACAGGAGCAAGGTCTCCACCACTGTGGCCACAAGCACGCGCAGTGCATACACGCCGACAACTGCATTGTGCAGAGGTGAGCATGCGTTGTACACGTGGCGAAGCATGTCCTCGTCAGCTTGTAACAGGTCCCATCGCGGCTGCTGTTGTTGTTGTTCTTGTTGTTCTTGCTGCTCCTGCTCCTGCTGACGGTCCTGCGTCAGTTGCTTGGTTTGCCCCTGCCCTTGTGTGCGCTGGTCATACTTCCGCTTGAGTCGACGCATCACCTCTGTTGCGAAACCAATAAAGTGCTGCACATCACCACCATCACCCGGCCGCTGCCCTTTCTTCAGCTTCATTCGCCCAATCTTCACCTGCGTTGGGCTGTGTTGGAGATGATTAATACAAACAAAACAGGGACAACACGCAGCTTGTTGAGAGGGCGGCTGTTGCTCGCACGTGCATGAGCGAATAATGAATGTCACTGTCACGCATCGAACACACACCCTCACGCATTCATGCACACACACACACACACACACACACACACACACACACACACACACACACACACACACACACACACAAACACATTCACACGCACCCACGCATGCACTCACTCGTGCTGTGGTAGCTGCTTGTGGAAGATCACCTCCAAGATGGCCCTGTTCGTGTGCGCGTGAAAGTGCGTTGGCGGCTGCTTCGTCCAGAGTTCACGTGCGTGACAGGCGAGTTCCATCGACCGATCTGCCAGTCGCGCTGACTGCGACTTGAGAAATCTGCTCAGTGGGAACACCTGTACCGCAGCAACCATGGGCGCGTGCGCGTGCTCATGGGCGAAATGAGAACAGAAGGCAACGACGTGGGACTTAGCGACGCGCGCACACACACATACACACGCACGCACATACACATACACACATACACACACATACGCACGCGCACACACACGCACATACACATACACACGCACGCACACACGCATACACGCACGCACGCACGCACACACACACGCACACACACACACACGCACACACACACACACACACACACACACGCACGCACACACACGCACGCACACACACGCACGCACACACACGCACCTTTTGGTTTGCGTGCTCATCGTCAGGTTCCGTGCGGCGGTGGTAGCAGCAGCCAACACTGACAAGCGCACGTGCTCCAGCGTCTGCGAAGATTTGCAGCAGCGACGTGTGCAGATCACCACAGGTATGAAGCCCCGTAATGACAGAGCCATCAACCGCATCAGAGGCAGCTGCATCCAGCCCTTCTCCATCCTTCACCACCGTGGTCACAGCCTCAACCCGTCCCACGCGGAACCCGCCTTGTACTGCTGCTGTTGTCGCTGTTGTTGATGTTGCCGTTGCTGTCGTTGTTGTTGTTGTTGTTGCCGTTGTTGTCGTTGGTGCCGCGTCAACATCTGGATCTGAGGCGTCGTGAGCAGCAACAGCGTGAGCAGGAACAGCGTGAGCAGCAACGTTGCTCGTCTCCTCCCCCTCCTGCTGCTGCTGTTGTTGCTCCTGTTGTTGTTGAGCACGTACCTGCATGTGCGCTTGGTCGCGCTCTCCCTGCTGGTCAATCTCTCCCTTCACCTCAAGCTCATTCCACGCCTCTTCCTCAACGCTCCGCTGCTTCCGTCTGCCATCTCCGCCCACAGCACAATCTCCCTCCTCTTGCTCCTGTTGCTCTTCCTCCGTCCCACCAGCCTGCTTCTTCATCTGCTGTCGCTCCTTGCGTCGGTGCCGTCTCCGGGCACGCCTGCTCGTGTGAGTACCATTCCCGCTGCTCTTGGTGCGAGCGGGTGCTGCTGGTGCTGTCGGGCAGCTACCGCAGACAAGACCTGCGGCGATGGCGGCGTGTCGCTTCATGGCCCACTGTGCAATCTTTGCCGAGCGACTGACAGCGGTGGCGTTCAAGGCCTCCTGCGACTCAATGCCGACCACGCGCAGGCCCGATGTGATGGACAGGACCTGACCGAGGTAACCTTTGCCGCTGCCAAAGTCCAGGACGGCCTTAGCTTGCACGCTCTCTGCCACCTTGGCGACGAGGGCAGAAAGGTGGGCCACCTCGTGCACCTTCTTTGGCCTCAGCCCCATCTTGACGACGGAGTTGATCTCCACAGGCACGATGGGCTCGCCATGGATGTGCGTAGCTTGCTGTCGTGGCAGCGCAATGTCGACCCCCTGCGCCAGCATGGTGCGCAGATCTTCTGGCCATTCGGGTGCGCTCTTTCCATACGCGATTTGCATCAACTAACAGGGAAAAGACACCATGGGGTGTGTGCGTGTGTGTGTGTGTGTGTGTGTGTGTGTGTGTGCGTGTGTGTGGAGTGGTAAGTGGAGTAAGAAAAAAAAAAA